GGGCAACTCAGCGAGTCCATGGGTGGACTCGGCTAGTAGGCGCTGAGTGAAGAAAACCCTAATTTCGGGGTATGAGCCCTATATAAAGGACATGATACCCTCTCCCCAGCCTTTTTACCCTCTATTGAAGTCTAGAAAACCCTAAGACACGATTGTGAGGGATTTGAGTGCATTTAAAGCTTGGAAAAGAGATTTTGGAGGAGATCTTGGAGAGATAGGAGGCTTGGAGCAAGGGGCTTTGCTAAGAATCAGATTTCTCTTCTGTTGGGGCTTCCTTTTGAGGTATTACTTCGTTTCTTGGGTTGTTATTCATCTAGATTCATCATCTTGGAATGTGTGGAAAGTTTAGCTTGTGGTATTTTGAGTTTGAAGGTTAGATCTGAGGTTGCTACCTCAGATTGGGTATGGGGAAGGTCTAGAGTGCATTAAAGTCCCTGTTATTGAGTGTTTGGTGAAGCCATCTTGTCCCAAACCCTAGCCCAAGAGTGTAAAATGCCTAGATCTCTTTGGATTCACGTAAAGTTTGCCACTTTACGCGATGGAAGGGTTATAGAAGGGTAGATCTACATTTTGGATCGATTGCATGGCTTGGAAGGCTTCCGTATGGGTTAAGAGCTAGTGGTACTCGGCGAGTCACAAGGGTGTACTCGGCGAGTTGCTTGAAGGTGGGCAGGAACTCAGCGAGTTGGGAGAACAACTCGGCGAGTTGGTTGAAGATAGCCTTGGACTCGGCGAGTCTGTTCTTGGACTCGGCGAGTCTAGTCTTGAGGTCTTAGCCTTTTCTGGTTAAGCTAAGAATCGGTGAGTCAAGGGATGACTCAGTGAGTTGAGATGGGTCTTTTCAGTGTTGGGGGACTCGGCGAGTCAGCGGGCTGACTCGGCGAGTAGAGTCAGCCAAAAGGTTGACTTTGACTTTGACTTTGACCAAGAGTTGACCAGTTGACTTCTAAGGGCATTTTGGTAATTGTTGGCTTTTGTTTTGAGTTCAGTGTTTGTGCTAGCCAGTGGTGGAGATCGTGTCAGTGGTCGGAGCATCTCGGTCTTATCTTTCCAGTCAGCAATTGCAAGGTGAGTTATCCTCTCTATATCAACAGGGTCTAAAGCACCAAGGCCGGTCCTTTATCGGATTGTAATCTCGGTATTATTGTTATGTTGCTGTTTTACTATGTTTGCATCCTGGTAGTTAGGACGGTATATGTTAGAGACCTGGTTAAGGTCGGTATCCTGGTATATAGGGTGATGCTATGCTAGTGATTGGTTAGGTCGGTATCCTGCTTAGAGTATGTTGTGTTACGTGATCTGCTAGATCGGTTTGCTTGAATGTGAATTGTTATATGATTGTATGTTTGTGTGCACATGGTTGTTTGACTGGGGTTGGGTTGAGGCGGGACCTGCTTTGTGTTGTAGGCCAACATACCCAGGGTGGACCGGTTATTCTGAAGGCCAAGCGAGCGGTCCGGATAAGCTGTAGGCCCCACGAGGGCGGACCAGACGTGCCGAGGCTCAGAAAGTGGACCAGGCCGACTGAAGGCCCAGTGCGGGCGGACCAGTCATACTGTAGACTCAGAGAGTGGACCAGGTGGATTGAAGGCCCAGTGCGGGCGGACCAACCACACTGCAGACTCGATGTATATGGCTAGACTCGGAGGGTGGACGAGGTGGACTGTTGGCCGGTGCGGCAGACCAGCTACACAGTAGACCCGATATGCATGGTTGTTCTGTGATTTGTTAAGATATAACATGTTATGTGTGTATGGTATATGAGGTTGGTATTTTGGGGGTATCTCAGTAAGCTTTCGGGCTTACAGTTGTGGTTTAATGTTTTTCAGGTTCTTCAGGAGACCGTGGCAAAGCAAAGGCGTGATCGTACCGCTCCTCGTGTTTATGATGTATGTTATGGTTCTGGGAATACTCTGATAATAAATGTATTGAAAACCTTTTTGTAAAGACTTAAAGAAATTGGGATGCTTTGAAAAGTTTAAAATTTTGTTGAAATTTTTTTGGTCGTTACAAGTTGGTATCAGAGCTTTGGTTTGAGTGAATTGGAGGAACATTCGTGTGAATCCAGTCTCAAATCAGGGAGAGTTTTTGTTTAAAAGAGAATTTAAAATAGTTTTCAAATTAATTAAAAGGAGGACGCGGAGGTACGATCAGCCGGAGCCAGTAAGTAACCCCAAAATACCATACATGATATTTGTTTTCGAGCTTTGATAGAACAACATGCTAGTACTAGGCTAGGGATCTTCAGGATTTCATGATAATGTTGCCTGATTTATGATGACTGCTAGCCTAGGGTTTCCCTCTGTATGAGATTTCCAGTGTTCCTCTAGGAGTGAGGATTGAGCGCCTGTTGTGTATATTTGTCACTAGGGTGTTGTGGTAGTACTTCATACAAATATGGGTAGGTGTGGAAGGTAGTATGGGCCCGTACTACTGAAAGCACAGGACCCATACGCGTATCAGGGAAACCATGACCTCTAGGGTTGAGTTGGGAGTTGGTTCCCGGGTTAGTGGGAAGTATCTGAGATCTTGTGGTGTTTTTCAGTATGGTGGTCACGAGGCATGCTGGGAGCGGATCCGGGTCGGGATTGGGAGCAGGAGACGGAGGTTAGGGTGGGTCAGTACCGCCCAAGGTTGTTGGTCAGATGAGTACAGGCAAGTTGGATGCTAGGATTCGTGAGATCCTGCATGATGAGGTTGTTGCGTTGTTCTGCACCCAGCTGCCGGAACTGTTTGGGTCGATCAAGACTGCTATGGTTGAGTATTTTGATGAGCGTTATGCAGCTCTCACAGAGATGGCTGCCGCGGAAGCTACAACGGTTGTAGCAACGACAGGGGAGGAGCTGGTAGAGGTTTCCAGTATCGGGACTTCGATAATACGAAGCCTCCTACCTTTGATGGGGTTCAAGACCCGATTGTTGCTATGAGATGGTTGTCAGACGTGGAAGGGTGTTTCTTCACGTGTTCATGCCCTGATGATCAGAGGGTGATGTGTGCCCTGAACCTGTTGAGGTTTGGGGCGAAGGATTGGTGGATATTGACCACGGGGTCATATTCGGATGCACAGAGGGCTGCGGTTTCATAGGATCAGTTCCGAGATATGTTTAACACTCGTTATGTTCCGTGGGTTGAGATGGAAAGATTGGCTCAGGAGTTCCTTGAGCTGAAGCAGGATTCGGAGTCGGTGACGGAGATCACCAAGATGTTCACTGAGAGGGCGATGTTTTGCCCCGAGTTTGCTTCAGAGCAGGCTCAGATGTCCCGATATCTGAGTATGCTCAATAGGGATATCAGGCAGTTCGAGTCTACGCAGAGTTGCGAGACCTTGTTAGAGTTACAGGAGGCCGTCAGGCAGCGTGAGTTGGAGATTAAGTTGCAATTACGAGAACAGAGCCAGGCTCCGGTGCAGTCGCAGCCGACGCCGAAACGGTCTAAGACCATCGATTCTAGATTGGGAGATCAGAGCAGCCACACTTGTGGTGAGTGTGGGAAGGGTCACACCGGAGTGTCGGTCCGGTGGTTCATGCCGCAAGTGCGGAAAAGAGGGGTACTATGCGAGGGATTGTCGGCAGGCAGTCCCAGGTCGAGATTTGAGGATCTGTTATCATTGTCATCAGGTTGGACACTTGAGGGTCAGCTGTCCACAGCTTGCTGTGGGACCGGTGCAGGCTCCAACACCGGCCACATTGAGGATCACGGGTGGAGGTCAGGGTGGAGCAAAGCCCCCAAGGGCTCAGGGTCATGCTTTCCAGCTTACAGCGGAGGAGGTCAGGGTAGTGTCGGATGCAGTTACGGGTATGTTTCTTTCTTGATGTCTGGTTATCTTGTGATTATTGTGGAATATTGTTCATTTGCTAGTATCATTGTGCGGTTTTCGGTATTGTATTCGTTGTTCCTCGAGGGTTATGGGTTTAGTTTTGGGAATTTCGTTGGTTATCATTCATGAGGGTTAATAGTGGGAATCGGGTGTTTGGTCTGAATATCGGGTAGCATCTGCAGTCTGAGGAGTGGTTAGCTGAAGATCGAGTTGTTGGGTTATGAGCATTCTAACACTCCTAAGTGTACATGCAACCCTAAATACCTTGGATCTATGTTTTCTCTATTATACATGCAAATATGAATATCCAAGGTATTATCCTAAACTAGCATACAAAAACTATCAATATAACAAGATAGAATACATACCTCTTTGATGGTGCTTGTCTTCATGAAGCTTGAGTGCCTAGTGCCCCAAGTGTGACACCTCAAATGGTTCACACAACACCAAATACACTTGGAATAACTTGAGAGAATATACACACTTCATGAAAATCGGCTAGCCCTTTCTTACTCTCACTAGTGGCCGATTTTCCTCAAGAATAAGATGCTTATATAGTTATACAATTAGGGTAAACCCTAATTGTCATGACTTTCCATTTCCTTGGATCCATGGGTTCAAATACACCATGGAGCATCCATGGAGCATCATATGGGTTTTGGCCCAACTAGATAATCCATGGAGCATTAGCCCACTATACAAGTATGGATGATTTACACAATCAACCCATATATTTAATTAGTCTTCTTTTGATCACTTAATTAATCCTAGATTAATTCTTGATCAATACTAATTAAATAATCTTATTATTCTTATTATTAATATACTAGAACTTATAATATATTAATAACCATAAGTGTCTTATTTCTCTCATTATAGTCTATCCAAGTGCATGATGCCATGCAACCCAAATGGACCATGCCGGGTCGGGTCAAGTCTTACCAATTATAGTTATGGACTTAGACATTAATCCAACACGAGTTTCTTTCAAGCCCGGGATGATCAGTGTTGATATGTGATTGCGAAGGTGGCTTGTGTCAGTGGAAATCAGTTCGCGTTTAAGTGTTTGTGTCGTAAAGGGTTGTTGAGGGAGGTCGGTGATGGCGACCAGTGGTTGATAGTCAGTGTTCTAAGTGGGGGAGAATTGGAGAATTCTCCGGAAGATCGGTGAGC